AACACTTTCCATGCAATTCTTAGTCTGAAAATCATTTATCCAAACTGTCTGGTAAACACCTTGTAAAGAGCTGATACAATCAAGCAGAAACAAGATTAATTTTGAATGTTTTCTCCATCTTCCACAACTTCTGTGAGCACTGAAGTGGACAAGGAAGCTATTCTAGTGTCAGAAGACACTAGAATAGACACCAGATATGCACAAATTTATCACTCTTTGCTCAGTTTTGACCTTTTTAACACATATATCCTCTTTTTTTTTTTTTTTTTTTTTTGTTCTGGCCAACACTGTAGCCTTTGCTAGGAGGTTTGGCAAGAAATTCTGTGTTGATATGTGCATTTTAATAGTGCTTGGGAATTCTGGGAACAATGGAGTAAAGAAAATTTCTGGAATATTACTTTTTTCATACTGCATGGCTATTGAGAAGCAAGTAAGAAAGGGTGAGAAACAATTGCAGATGTGGGATGGAATGAGCGAATAAAAGTTGAAGACAGAAAAGAATAGTTAATAACATTTAGGATGAGGAATACACAGGAAAAAAAAGGGACATCTTAAGGCAATAAGGATTCACAGCAGACTATGCTATTGCTTAATTCAGCAACCCACTAAATTTTGCTCCTTCCATCTCTTCCAGTTGCAAATTGGTCAGTTTTGGATATACAGTTGGAGAAACTCTCAAAAACCCATTAAGCTAGTTTGTGTGTATCATCACACCTAAGATAATCACCTGAGATAGGTAGGCTGAATTGCTTTCTGGAATAGTAGCCAGATAGTTTGTGTGTATGTTTCTTTAGCACAGTTGGGCATGTATTTAATGCTTCCCAGTTATTAAACGCTCACTTGAATACGTGTATGGCATAGCATGTAGCACACTTGCAGAAGAAAAGAGGTATCATCTGCATCTCAACAAGGTGGAACAGACACTATCAAAAACTGAGAAGTAGTGGCTGCACCGAAGCAAATAGCAAATGTACTGCTGATTTCAGGGGAACAATGATTTTATCTGAATAACACAGAGTCTTCAAAACAGATCTCATACGCTAAGAACTGAAACTTGAAAACACATGTAATTTTAGTAGGATTATACTATCTTTGAAGTGAGAGGGCTTAAAACAGTCCTGTGTACATATCTTTCAGACTGCTTTGGGCACTTCACACAAAAGTGAAACTGTGAGCTAAACATCTCAAATGTGAGATACTTAAAATCTTGAAAAATATTATCTCTTCTTTTGTATTCTAGTGCTGGAAACTATTCCAGTTGCCAGCTTATACACTTCTACAGTTTGCTTCATGGCTTTTCCAGTTAAAGCCATTGTATTTTTTTAAGCTTATAGCAGAAATAAAGAATAAAAGCTTTTTAGGCTCTGAGCTCTTTAGGCTCTGAGATGATTTATCTGTAAGTGACTTCTTATTTCTTCTTAATATATTGAACATTTTTATGCTTAACTGTGCTTTTGCAGCTACTGCTTTACATCAGTCTCAGCTTTATGGTATTTACTAGTCAATTATCAGTTACTTTGCTACTCAGACACATATACAGTCATGCCATAGATGCATCTGGGAAAAACAGAGCCCAGAGAAATGAGTGTTATTTCACTAAAATGCAATTTAAATTTAAACTAGAAATGCTACAATATATCAACATCTTTTCTAAAACTCAAAAAGGATTGTATGAACCTGTGCATCATACTTCTATTCAAAAAACTTTTAACAACTGCAGCTATGAAAGTTTATAATCTTGCTAAATTTGTTAGAAATCAGAAAAAAAAGTATTTGAAGCTCCTTTTTTTTAATTATTCCATGTGCCAATCTTTTTTATGTTTTTTTTTTTTTGTACAATCTTTTTTTGTACATTAATATATTCTGAACTCACAATGCTATTTCATCCTTGGGGACTAAAGGAAGCATTTTCCTTTTCAAGCAAGAATCTCACCTGCTTGTTACTCCCAGATTTCCCACATATCATTTACAAGTAATAAGATAGAGTATTTGCTATCCTAGAATCAGGGACACAAAAGGCATTTCCTTATCCCAAGCCACTTCCTTTAAGTTAATGTGCACCTGGAACAAATAACAAGAAGTAGGTGTTTTCCTAGATAAAAGAGACATAGCAGATCTATTCTATCAGAAGTTCAATAAAGCAGCTGATTTGATATCATATGGAAATCATAAGTTAAGGTGAAAATGAAGTGAATAGTACAAGGAATTTCAGGCAGAAAAAGAACTGCGTATGACAATTAGGATTGCACAAAGCTATTATCACAGAATTCTTTAAAGATCAGCCATGGAATACAGGACTGTAATAGCAGGAGTATGCTAATTAAATTGTCAGATAGCATAAAGTAATGCAAAAGGGAGCATTATCATATGAGATACATTAGACTATTTTGGGAGTGTTTGGATGACCCAGAGAAGCAACACAAACGAGATATGTAACCGTATATATATGAATGAAAAGATCTTGTGTTGGTGGAAAAATAACGATTGAAAGTGATTCAATAGTAAAAAAACCTTATGTGTACTTGTTAGTATAGGAAAACCAATAAAATACATCTGTGAAAAGCATGTATGAAACTGAGTAATATATAAGGTTTTATTCATCCTTTGGGGAAATATTTATGTTGTTTGGATTACTGTGTACAATTCTGATTATGAATGTTGAAGAAAGATGAATTGAAAATGTAAAGTTCAAGTAGGGGATACCGCGATTAGCAAGAAAGCCTGATATACCAAAGCAAAGGAACTATTAAGTAAAGAATAATGTTGGCACAGGAAGAAATGGATACAAATAGATCACATTTTGAAAGGAAATTAGAGCTAGAACAAAGATGATGGGGATAGCTTTCCAATCTCAGCTAAAGAGTATACACAAAACTCTCAGCAGATTCTAAATTATATGTCAATCAGTTCATAAAAAGCATAATATTAACTGGTTTCATGTGGCTCCAAAGATTTTCCTTCTCCTTTTCAGTAATGTGCCTTTCTGTTGCCAAATCAGCAATTGGTGCTATGTGGCAGTAACAATCTGTATCGAAGCTTTGGAGATTTTATCTCCTTTATCCTCATACCCTTCTTACAGTTAGTAAACTGTAGAAGTAGTGGAACAGTAGTGGAAACTTGAAAGGTGATAGCCTTAGCATATCTTATGTCTTTTCTCTTTTCTAAACTTGAGTCCTATATTATTTTTCAACATACTTTGGTAGCTGTTGTAGCGTTTGTCATGAGTGTGAAGTTTCATAGGATGGACAAGATGCAAGACTCATATGGCCTGTAGTTCCTCCAGACCTGGAAAGAGCATCGTATTTTTGGCCTTGTTACTGCTAACAACTCTGTTAGACTTGAAGAGAAAGAGTGCACAAACTCTCCCACAGCAGCAGATGAAGTGGGAGTTAAAGCGTTAATTGTGAAACGAGGGCTTATGCTAACTTAGGGGTGTATAGTGTTCTATCAAGTGTACACAATCAGAAAAGGATGGTGCTTTTTATATGCAGATAACAAGGCAGAGAGAGGTTGGAATCGTCTTTTTTTTTTCTTTTTAGTAATAAATAGCATGTAACTAGTTTGCAACAGCTAGTATGCAAGACTGGCATACTATAATGTAGAGGAGATGATGCACTCTCCTATTTTTGAGGTGGAAACTTAATAACCTTACTGTTTTCCCACAGAAAAACTAGAAGCACCATTAGGGGACCAAAAGTACCTCTGTCTTTTCCAAAAACTTTAAAATTGTCAGCACCTGCTGTTCCAGGACTTCTTCATTTTTGAAAATCAACAAGAAAAATAATGCAAGTTGACAGTTTCCATTCAAAACAAAAAAACAAAAAAACCCTGATCTTTTTAGTAGCTAACAACGTATTTGCCTCCTAGGCTACATTATCTATTTATTAATTTTTTCTTTACAAGTATCTATTTGAAGTATGCATGCTGTAAGAGCACTGAACTTTTACAGTAAATTTATTCATGTAATTCATTTTATAGCAGAACAAATATTATTCTAGTAGCAAAAAGTGTAAATACAAAGAAAATTAAGTTTATTAGTTTCCACTTTCCTCTGGAATAGATCACTAACAGATACTCTTT